TAAAATAGGAAGATAACCAAAGGAGTAATGTCTTGAAAGCCCTGTGGGGTAAGAAAAGCATTTCAGGAAAACAGAGATGATAAACTGGGTCAGTGTTTTTGATAGATTGAGTAATGGGATCAGAACTTAAATTGACTATTGGGATTGTCTTTAAAGAGATTTTTTTTACCAGCTTTGCAAACTGTTTTAAAAGAGTGGCAGGCTCCAAAACTTGATTCAGATGGAATTTTAAAAAGGTTATGAGGCAAATTAATTGAAAGAGTAATTTAAGACAGTTTGTCAAGGAATTTTTCTGTAGAAGTGAGTAATAATGGGATGATAGCTGCAGAGAACTGTGAGAGGGATAGAGTACTGTTTCATTAGTTAGGTGATATTATAGTATATTTATATGCTGATGGCGTGCTGATGGCCTAGTGGTAAGAACCTGCACTGCAACCCAAAAGTCCTGGTTTGAATCCATGGAAGAAAGATGGTCAGTCTCCTTCCATGTGATTTAGTGCCTCTGAAAACCCACTGGAGAGTCAGCTATTGGTCTCTTCCAACTTGATGGCACACAACAACAACAACATATACTTATGGAAAATAATGTAGCAGAGAAAGAAAAACTAATGTCCAAGGAGAAAGCATAATTACTGGAGTGGTTTTTATTTGTTTGTTTGTTTGTTTGTTTGTTTGTTTTAGTGAGAGATATATATATAATGTTGAGTGACTGAAGAGTTGGCTTGCAGAACACAAGTAATCCAGACGGGATTTCTAGGTGGGATGGTGATGTATGGGTGCAAAGGCAGGACAATTGACAGATGTGGTAGAAGCATACAAGTAGTCTAGTAGCTTCCTTGTTGGCTGAAAGTATGGCAATATTGGAAGAGAAGAAAAGGTGGCAAATAATTGTCTAGAAAAGTAGGAGAGTGACTACATAAAGGAGAATATAGTTGGAATGCTGGGTAACAATAGGGAATACTAGAATTTATTTCTCATTAATTAAAAGTGAAATCAGGCAGCATGATTGTATTTTTGTTTTTGTTTTTTCAGCCATGTTCTGCTGTACACACTTTGGCATGATGTAAACAGAGCTTTGGATTTAACCAAGGTCAGAACGTGTACATTATAATGATGAGAAGAGAGCAGGGCCAAGGTGATAAGGAAATTGGTAAGGAAGTGATTATGGTGATGGGCCATGAAACCTAGTCTCATTCTAGGGAGCTAAGAATGAATCTAAGATAATCAACAGATGGTAGAAAGGAGGTTTGGTTAGAAGAATTATGGATTCAGATAGAGTTGAACAATTGTTGGAGTCAGAATCCTAAAGAGAGTGAATGAAAACAGCCGTTGATCAGAGATTGAACACCTGAAATTAGGAATAGAGCAAAGGAGTAGTTATTGCTGATGTTATGGTAATAAAGTATGTTATTACCATGAGAGGACTATGTCCTTGTAAATATCATGAACAAATTTTCAGAACTTCTAAGAACCTCATGTTTTTCTTCTGTGAAATTATAAGAATGTTTACCTTGAAAAGTTGTAGTGAAGGTTAAATGATGTAAGTGTAAAATGCTCAACATAGTACATGTTATGTGAATAGGTCCTATAAAGAGTTTCCTTCCTTTCTTTTATAATTCTTTGTCTTATTTCCTGCCCTGAGAAGAATAGCAAAATGGCATATATGCTTCATGACTTGATTGCTTTCCTCAAATTTGTTTCATGTAGAATTTTAGAAGAATTTATTGTAGTAGAATAAAATATTTTTTTAATAATCACTGAACAAACCCATTATGAATTTTCCTTAATCAGAATGAAAATCCCCACTACCTTTGGAAACCACCACTGCCTATTAACAAGAAGAGTTAGCTGCTGTTGAATTGGCTCCCAACTCATGATAACCTCATGCACAACAGGACAAAATAGCACCCCATCCTGTGCATCTCCGTGATCTGTTATTGATTGGACCATTGTGATCACAGGGTTTTCATTGGCTGATATTGGCTGATATTTGATACTGCCAAACTATTCTTCTAATGCATCTTAGTCTGAAAGTTCCACTGAAACCTATTCAACATGAAAGCAGCACAGAGCCCTCCACTGACAGGTGATGGTGGCCATTCATGAATTGCATTGGGTGGAATTTAACCCAGGTCTCCCTCATGGAAGGCAAGAATTCTACCACTGACCACCCTTGTTCCCTAACATGAAGTACCACTACTATAATTCTACTACTGTTTTTTTTTTATTATGATAGTTGGAACCGAGCCATAGCTGGCCCTCTAGTGGGTTTTCAGAGGCAGTAAATCGCATTAGAGGAGATTGCCCATCTTTCTCTTGAGGGGCAACTGATGGATTCGAACTGTATGCCTTTGGAATTGCAGTGCAGCTTCTTATCACTAGGCCATCAGAATACTATTAGTAATTATTAATTTAAAGGAATATTTGGTGTAAAAACTCATTTTTACATTATTTTATTTAATAATTAAACTAACCTGTGTGCAACATGATTCAAGTATTTTTATTATTTCCCATTTGTCAGTTGAGAAAATGACTCAAAATATTGATATGTATCATGAGGTATACCACGTACAGTTGCATTAATTATACTAGAACTTGAACCTAGGGCTTTTTAACTGGTAACTGAACTCTTATTTTTCTTGATACCTCATTATTATAAAGATAAGAGTGTTTTTTTCTCTAGATCTGCTACTTTTGAAAGGTTTTTTTGTTTTTAAAAAACTCTTAATGAAAATATTTTTTTTTTATTTTACTGTACACATAATTTTTACATCCATGTATTCTTTCCGTGTGTACCAATTGAAACATATTAAATGCTAGACCCTATGGTAGGCCCAAGGAATACAGTAGAAAGCAAAACACAAATCTCTACCTTCAGGGACCTTTCCCTGTAGTGTGAACTCAGCCCCTGCAAGTTAGTTCTTCTATTCCAACTTATAGTGACAGATAGGACAAAGTAGGGATGCCCTGAAGGGTATTTGAGGCTGTGCATCTTTATTGCATTAGACTGCCTATTCCCGCAGAAGAGCTTTGAATGGTTTGACAGAAGAAACTTTTGGTTAGCAGTCCAACACTCCACTGCATCATGAAGGCTCTTTGTAGTGAGAACAGACATTAACAAATCAGTTTCATAAAAATATTTAAGTAAAAACCATTGATAAGTCTTATGTAGGAAAAGTATAAAAGCCACTTACATAAGATAACAGAGGAATTTGAGATTGAGTCAGGATTTGGCTTGATAATGATCATGAAAAACATTCCTAAGGAAGTTAAATTTAACGTATTTGAAGAATGAACAGCAATTGACTAGGAAAAGGGAGAAAGGATACTACACTAAGGAAGGAGCATAGGTGAAGGGATGAACCCTCTTTCTTTCTTACGTATCTCCTCTGTCTTCCTGTCAACAACTGTTGATGCTTCTTAGTATTAACATTACTTTTAAAAGTTGATGTATTAAGTTATAAATTAACAGTTAAAGCATAATGCTAATTTTTTCCCCCTTTCTATATTCTCTGAGAAAACAAGTTGTTTGGACTGCTTAGTTAGACTTACAATGGATTTAAACCCTAGAGTCTGTCCGTGGTCCTGTAGTATTAAGGCCACAGAGAATATTAATTTCATCAGAGCTTTTACACTGACAGTTTTTGCTAACACAGTATGTTGACTCTTTTCTAAAGTGATGGCGCCATATGTATGCTAAAAGAAACAGACTCGCATAAGGGAATATTTTAGACTTTTTGTTGAAAACATCTAGTTTATCATTCCTTTTAGTTCTAACTAGGATGAGAACACCTAGGAGCTGTAGTGGCTTAGTCTGTAGGCAGTTGCACAGCTCACCCAAAGACTGTGCTTCTCTGGCAGTTAAAATTCACTAGCCACTCTGAGGGGGAAAGATGGGCATTCTCCTCCCATGTGATTTACTGCCTCAGAAACCCACTGCCAGGTCAATTATGAGTCAGTTCCAACACGAGAGCAATAAGTTCTTTGTGGGTTTTTGTTTGACTTTTAGTAGTTTTTCAGCATGGGAATCAGGCTGTTTTTCTTTTTCTTGTAAAACATGGCCATCTATTGAGCTAAGCTTGCATTTTCCATAGCATATGGTCCTTTAGGTTGCTGTAGTAGAAAACTCATGTGAAAGGGAGCTCCCCGAAGGTGAATAATGTAATCTCTATCAACGTTTTAATATCACCCATTGCTATAAAGGGGCATATTAGAACTGGAGAAGACATAGCAAAAGAGAGTTTGAAAAAGAAATTGACCAGCAAAAGCAAATTACAAATAATTTTACTTTATCCTGAGATTACTGAGCATATTTATCAAGCAAAGGTAACAGTCTTTATTTTCTATTTCAAGCCTCACATGCTAATTAAGCATTTTCACACAGACAGATAGAAAGTCAAAATACCAAAGATTGCTTTTGTCAGATGAACTAAAATTCTCAAGCACTTAAACAGTTGTCCATGATATTTATTTTTCTAGCCTTGTCAGTTTTAATGCACTTGAAAGAGAATATACTTTAATACTACTTGACTTTTGTCGATGTCTCAGTACTACTACTATCTAGAATAACTCTCTTACTCTCCCTGCATCTGTTACCTCACCTATAAAATTAGGATAATACTTAATAAAGTAATGGTATCTGATATTTGTAATAATTACCCTTTGACAGTAAAAGACCTAGAAAATTTGTATTGTCAGAAAAAACTATTCTCTATTTTATAGTGTTAAATTCATCTAGAATCATGATTATATCACTTTGCTCATTAATAGGAGTATCTAATGGATCAAACTGCTCAACTCATTACCAACGCATAGAGAAATAGAGTATATGTATATTTGTACATGTAATGCTAATATAGTATTACCTACAAGCCAATATAAATAACATTTATAATTAGAAAGAAGACATTCATTCTGTTTGCCAGCATTAGCCAGTGAGCAAAAGGTTAACTGATTTTTTTCTTCCCTTTCAATGCTTCTCTGTCCCTCTTTGAATTTAGGAGCATGTATCCGGTTTGGAAATCTTTTCTCGAGGGAACAATGCAGGTAGCCCAGTCTCGGATCAATATATGTGAAAACTATAAAAACTTCATATCTGAGCCTGCAAGGACAGTGAGAAGCTTAAAAGAACAACAACTAAAGAGGGTATTGTTTCCATTTCTGTCCTGTTTACATTTTGGTATATACATTTACAATCTACAATATTATGTAAAATTTTATCTAAAACTTTGAGCTTTCCTATACTGGTCGTCTATGTTTCTAGTTGGCATGTTATTAGGATTTTCTGATTTCAACATGTTCCCTGTAACAACTCTATTTTATTAAATGTTAAAGGTGAGTGTAATTTTAATCTGCACTTAATCTGAATGTTCACAAAATATTTCTTGGAATTAGCAATTTTCCGTTTACTCAAGTACATAGATAATATGTACTCACACAATACAGTATAGTTTTGTATATATTGAAATATTTACAATGTTACTATTTTGCAGAGAAGTTTAAATTACTATGTCTTAGTTTTCAACTTGACTTTCTGTTTCAGTTGGTTTTTTTGTTTGTTTGGGGTTTTTTTGCTTAATTTAAAGGAAACTGTTATATTTTTACCAAATATAGCACTCTTAAAATATACAAATATCCTTTGAAATATAATTACATAGATGACAAATGAATATAAATGTTCAAGTAAATTTTCTTTGTGTATATAGAAAACTAAAATTCGTATAAAATTATTTTTAGTGTGAATTTTATAAAAGTTTCCTTTATAAAATAATTCTTTGAATTGTGTCCTCTTTTCATAAATAGGACTACAAAATAGAGATTATCATAATACATAATTGATAATTAAAATTTTCTCATGAAGTGTTAGTACTTTGTTGTTGTTGTTAGTGCTGTTGAGTATGACTCATAGTGACCCTGTGAACAAAGAGATCTGACTGAACCCTGGCCTATCCTGTGCCATCCTCGTCATCTCTGACACACTTAAGCCCATTGCTGCAGTCACTGTATCAAATCCATCCCGTGAGCAGTCTCTCTTTTCCTGACCTGACACCTTTCCAAATGTGATGTTAAGGAAGTCATCTAGTATTTTAATTCTAATTGTCATTTTGATTTTTAGAACTTGTTTTTGCGAAGACCAAACAAAAAATCCACTTTGTATTTTTTTCCATGTTTCCCAGAGATGATTTCAGTAGCAAAGAATCAGTATGCGTATCAAAATGTACATGTGTGTGTATGAGATTTTGAGAGCTCTTATCTAATGTCACTTGGTTTTAACACATTTATATAAGGATACATGTTTTATCTTTGTCAGAGATTACTTCTTTCAAAGCAGACATGATGAATCAGCTATAACATTGATAATTTCCTGAGTCATTATTTTGTATGATTTCTCAGCCTTCATGGAAACTTATTCTCATTTATGCTCCTGCTCAGTGCTGATAACTTTTGGGAAAAAATTCAACATATATCCTACTAAGAATTCTCTTGGAATAATTATTCTTATCCTTCTTTTCTAAATACATCATTTTGCCCACCCTAGGAAAACACTGGATTCCTGCAGCAAAATTTTATTTCCAATTTGTAAAGGGAATCTGAGATAATCTTTCCCTTTGTAAATGAAGGTGATGACTTTTAGTTAACATTTTTAAATATTTTATTGTGTGTAGAGTTTATTCCTTTGAAGAAGTACCCAAATTTCTCTAACTTGAAACTGTTCACTTTGATAATAGAAAACATTTGGTTGTCAATTTATTGAATGCTAGAAAATGTTTTCATTGTGAACACTGGAGATTACTGGAGAATACTGTTGGATAAATAATATCCTTGAACCTTGGGTAAAGGGGGAAGTCAGTTGTCAATTTGTGTATCTGTGTGTGTATAGGGTAAGATGCATGTAAAGCCCTTTCAATGATTTGTTCATTAATACAAAATGCATCTGGTGTTATAGACATGTAGAAAGTAATTTGCTTAGCTGACGGGCCTTTTATAGATGAAAATGAAATAAGTTATTCACATAAGATACTTGTTGTTATTGTGTACCATTTAGTCAGAAACGACCCAAGCTGACCCTCCTGCCGAGTTTTCAAGGCAGTTAATTGCACCAGAGGAGATGAGCTGTCCTACTTCCATGGAGCAGCTGGTGGATTCTAACTGCATGCCTTTGGGATTACAGCGCAGCTTCTTACACAGCAACCCTAAGTACAACAGCTCTGAACCCTGCTCTAGTCTATGTCAACCTTACTGTCTCTCACACACCTACTCCTGTCACCCCAATCACTAAATTAATCCCATTTGATCGAGAGTCTTCCTCTCTTGTGCCGTACCACCACCCTCCCAGGCATGATGTCTCTCTCCAACAACTGGTCCCTCCTTGCAACATACCCAAAGTATATCAGACAAAACTTCAGAATCCTTACCTACAAGGAACAACTTGCTTTCACCCTCTATAGGACACCTGTGTGTTCTTCTAGCAGTCCATAGTATATTCAATACCCTTCTGCAGCACCACAGCTCAAAGGCATCAATTCTCCTTCAGTAATCCCTAGTCATTATTCAGCTTTCTAACACATAGTGAGTAATTGTGAAGATAATGGCATGGATCAGGAGCACCGTAGTCTCCAGAGTGACATCATTGCTCTTCAGGAGTCTCGAGAGGTCCCAGACAGCAGGCTTTCCCAGTGCAATTAATCTTTTGATTTTTCTGGCTGGTGCTACCAAGAGTGTTGATTGTGGAGCCATGCAAACTGAACTATTAATAATCTCAATCTCTTCACCATCTCTCATGATGCTGCCACTGGTGAGAATATTTGTTTTCTTGATGTTAAGCTTTAATCCATATTTAAAACCACAGACCTTGACCAAAGCAGTCACTTCAGATGCTCCTCAATTTCAGCTTCAGGTGCTCCTCAGTTTCAGCAAGCAAGGTTGTGTCATTGGCATAATGCAGGTTGTTGATGAATCGTCCTACAATCCTGATGCCACATTCCTCCTCATAAAGCCCAGCCTCCCAGATGATCTGTTCTACATACAGATTGAAAAGAATGGAGATAGGACACATCCCTGGTGTACACCCTTCCCAATTTTGAACCATGCAGTATTTCCTTGCTTTGTGCTGATGACTGCTTCCTGGTCCAAGTATAAGTTTCACATAAGCACAATCAAGTGTCCTAGGATTTTCATTCTTCTCAGAGTCATCCATATTTTGTTATCCACACAGTCAAATGCCTTTGCATAGTCAATGAAACAGACATTCCTCTGATACTCTTTCAGCCAAGATTCATCTTGTAATATGATATATTATATGATATAGCTAGTACCACAGCCTCTTGTAAATCCAAACTGCACATCTGGCAGTTCTCTGTTGAGGTACTGTTCCAGTCAGTTTTAGATAATTTTCAGCAGGATCTTGCTTGCATGTGATATTAATGATATTGTTTTTAATTTCCACACTCTGTTAGGTCACCTCTCTTTGGAATGGGAACAAATATGGATCTCTTCTAGTCAGTTGGCCAGGATGTTGTTCTCCATATTTTTTGGCACAACTTGGTGAGCACACCCAGGGCACCATCTGTTGAAATATATCAATTAGTATGCCATCAATTCCTGGTGCCTTGTTTTTTGCAAATTCTTTCAGAGCAGCTTGAACTTCTTCCTTCATCACCACAGGCTCTTGCTCATATGTTGTTTCATGAAGTTCTTCTATGACAGCCAATTCCTTTTGGTACAGCAGCTCTATACTTCTTCTATCTTCTTTTAATGCTTCCTGGATCATTTAATATTCTGCCCAAAGCACCCTAAAGTATTGCAACTTGAGGCTTAAATTTGTTCTTCAGTTCCTTCACCTTAAGAAATGTCAAGTTCAGCCCTTTTGATTTTCTGCCTCTAGCTCTTATTTCATTATACTTTATTTTGTCTACCCATGCTGCCCTTTGAAAGAATTCTGTTTAATTTCTTGAGTTCTTCCCTTTGCTTTGGCTTCTCAGAGATCTAGTGTAATATTCAGAATCTGATCTGACATCCACCTTGGTGTTTGCTTCCTCCTCTGTCTTCATGACCCCTTGCATTCTTCATGATGTTGTTCTTGATATCCTCCCATGGCTCATCTGGTCTTTGCTTATTAGTGTTCAAGGCCTCAAACCTGTTGCTTGAATGGTGTTGAAATTCAAGTGGGATAGAATCAAGGTCAAATATTGGTTCCTGTGGATTTTATTTCATTTTCTTTAGCTTCAGATTGGACTTGCATGTAGTAGTTGGTGATCTGTTCCCCAGTCCGCAATTGGCCTACTTTTCACAGCTGATACTGAGTTTCTTCAGCAATTCTTCCCACAGATGTAATCGATCTGATTCCTGTGCACACTATCAGGTGAAATTTATGTGTATAGCCTGTGTTTAAGTTTATAAAATGCAATGAATAAATCATAGATTGTACAAAATTCCCTCGTTTTAGTTTCAGCTTCATTTCTGCCACCAAGTCCATATTTTCCAACTACTGATCCTTCTTCTTGGTTCCCAACTTTTGCATTCCAGTCAGCCATTATTATGAATATATTTTGATTGCATGCTCAATTGATTTCTGACTACAAAAGTTGGCAGAGGGTGGGGGGTGGGGGGGAAGGGACGTGGGAATTGTATACTAATGAAGGAATTTTTTTTTCTTTTTCTCTTCGGAGGGGGAAGCAAGCTGGTGGGGAGAGGTAGGCAGGGAGAAAAGTGCAGCAATGAATGAATGGAAATCCAAAACCTCTGTAAATGTCTATTAAAATTAATAATAATAATAAAAATAAAAGGGAAATAATTAAACTGAGGAGGGGGAAATGTGTAAAAAATGAATGAATGACAATCTAACTTTTCAGTAAACTTTAGTTAAAAATTAAAAAAAGATGAAAACCCCACCTTTCTGTAAAATTTTCTTAAAATCACAATAAAAATAAATAAAAAATAAATTCTATAAAAAAAAAGTTGGTAGAAATCTATTTCCTGCTCTTCGGCTCTGGTTGTTGGTGCATATAATTGGTGGTATTCAGTGGACTTCCTTGTATGCCTATGGATATTATCTTGTCACTCATAACATCATATTTCAAGATGGATCTAGAAATGACTTTTTTTAAAAATTTTATTATTATTAATTTTAATGAAAATTTACAGAGACTTTGGATTTCCTTTCATTCATTGTTGCACTTTTCTCCCTGCTGACACCTCCCCCCAGTAAACTCTTTGAAAAGTAAAAGAAAAATTTTTTCATTATTGTACAATCCCTCCCCCAAGTCCACTCCACTATGCAGCCTTCATTCTGGACTCCTGTCATGACAGTAATACCTAATCACTTTTTTAATGACCTTTTTAACTATAAAAGCAACCTCATTTTTCCCTCACCTTTTTTTGTTATTTTTTTAAAAAAATAAATGCTTTATTCACAACCTAGCACTTACTAGGTAAGGTGCTCAATAAATGAGAACAGTTACTCTGAATTTATTTGCCCGGATGGAACCTTTTATCTCTCACCATATAGAACAATTTCAAAGAGACTTTAGCCTGTATGTCGTACACCTGACTTTGCCCTATGTCGTATTCTAATGTCTAAGTTACTCTGATGCAGACCATGGCCTTTCCAGTCACTTGTTGTACGTCTAATAGCTGGGTAATGAATAAGGATATCCAAAGAAGAATTTATATATTTGAGTTGTAGTGTTGGAGAAGAGTACTGAATATCCCATGGACTACCAAAAGAACGGAGATATCTTGGAAAAATGCAGCCACAGTGCTCCTTGAAGGCATGAGAGGCGAAGCTTTGTCTTGCATGTTTGGGGCATGTTGCTAGAGGAGGCTATTCCTTGGTGAAGGGCATCATGCTCAGAAAGGGGGCGGTTCAGCAAAAGAGAGGAAGATATTCATCCAGGTGGATAGACACAGTGACTGTAGCAAAGGTCGCAAGTGTGTCAGAGATGATAAAGATGGCGCAGGACAGGACATGAGGTTCAGGTCTGTTGTTCATAGAGTTGCTGTGAGTTGTACTCAACTTGTTGGAACCTAACAAAAACAATGTTTAGGCAAATTGTCGTATCTCTGCTATTTTGTAGGATTTGCTCTATACTGTTCAGCCTTGTGCCATAATTCAACACCAGTGTGTTCTGTTCTGCTGAGCTAGCTTTTGTAATTTCCAAGCAAATACTTTCTATGCAGTTCCATGCACAGGAGATTTCTACTGGTGTCTGCCCTGAACCAACTTTATCTTTGTTAAAACTTCTTGATTTGTCTGAAACTGTTTAAAATTACTTCTCTTGGGACATCCCAAGTGGTTCGCAAGCTGTATTAATTTCTTCACAGAGTTATTTTTAGCAAAAGAAATATATTTTAAGAATTTATTTGCAGGGGGAGGGAGGGATTAATCATGGAGTTGTACAATTTGATGGGGGAGGTGAGGGAAATTGGAAGAATCTGTTCTGGAAAACAATATATTAGAATTTTGTAAATAAAATATAATAAAAAGAAAGAAAGTACATTTTGTGTGTGTGTGTGTGTATGCAGGTTGTACACTCCAGATTATAACAAAGTTCCCTTGAATAGTTAAAAAAAAGAATTTATTAATTAAACAATTCCTTGAGTTATCACTTAAAATGTATACAGGAACTCTCTGAGGTAGAATTTCCATTCCTAAGTCTGTCTCTAAGTTGAAATTATATGTAAGTGAGGAAAACTAAGTATAGTTCATATCTAACATCACTTTGCCTTACTATAGTGCACTTTACATGAAAAATATTAAAGAGACACTTCTAGCTATACTATCACATTTTTAACATAATGCAACAATAGTTTGTTGTTGTTGTTACGTGCCGTCAAGTCACCTGTGACTCATAACGACACTGTGTACAACACCCCTAAATCTTGCTCTATCCCTTGCCAATCTTATTGTCTCCAACACACCTATCCCCATTACCCCAGTGACTGAATCAATCCATCTCATCAAGGGTCTTCCTCTCCTGCACTGTCCCTCCACCCTCCCAAACATGACATTCCTCTCCAAGGACTGATCCCACCTTGCAACATGTACAGAGTATGTCAGATGAAGCTTCAGAATCCTTGTCTCCAAGGAGCAGCCTGGCTTCTTTGTTCTTCTAGCAGTCCTTGGTATATTCAGTACTCTTCTCCAATACCACAGCTCAAAGGCATCAACTCTCCTTCTATGATCCCTAGTCACTGTCCAGCTCTCTGATACATAACAAGTAATTGCAAAGACCCTGGCTTATATCAGGTGCACCTTAGTCTCCAGACAGACATCATTGCTTGTCAGTACTTTGGAGAGGTCTCTGACAGCAGACTTTCCCAATGCAATTAATCTTTTAATTTTCTGGCTGCTGGTACCAAGAGTGTTGATTGCAGAGCCAAGCAAACTGAAGCTATAAGCAATCTCAATCTCCTCATCATCCATCATGATGTTGTCAATTGGCCCAGTGGTGAGAATCTTTGTTTTATTGATATTGAGCTTCAATCCATATTGAAGGCTGTAGTCCTTGACCATCTGCAGCAAGTGCTATGTGTATAATAATGTGTACACATCACAAAGTAAAGCCGATTTGTTGTTATATAATATAATATTACATCCATTTAATTTTTCATACAATAAAGTTTATGAAGATTTGTTTGGAACTACTGGTTATACATCAGGAGTACATCCACAGCCCATTTATTGCTGGTCTGTGTATCCAAGGATCATTTTGAGTAATAGTTGTTATATTCTACTCAGCTTTCCTATCTCTCTCCATCATGTTGGGTTTATCATGTCAGATATCTAAGATTTCACTCCTTTTCTGTGGTTGAATTCTTTAGTATTCACAGTACTGTTGGTTTTCCAAACACATAAGCTGGTTAAGAAAGGAACTTTTACTTTTTTTTAATATTTATTGCCATAATCAATAAAAACATTTTCTTTAAAGTCAAGAATCAGCAACAGTCAGATTATTTTGCAATGTAGGATTATAAGACAAGCTATGATATTATTTGATACTGAGCATGAGATGAACACCAGCTGTTCGTTGAATTTTAATTTGTAATTTAGAGGAGACTAAATGTACTGAATTTTTACATGGGTTTCCAATATGACAATGTAGTCTCTGCTCCTTAGGATAAACGTATTTTCTGTAAGCCTGAAAAGGAAAATACTGATAATTACACTTTCTGTTTTTCAGTGTGTGGACCAATTGACGAAGATCCAAACTGAATTACAAGAGACAGTAAAAGATTTAGCTAAAGGCAAGAAGAAGTACTTTGAGACTGAACAGATGGCTCATGCAGTACGAGAAAAAGCTGACATCGAGGCCAAGTACGTGTTTAAGCATTTGTTAAAAAAAAAGAATAAAGATAATGCAGTATGTGTTATGCTTGCTAATTGTTCTATGCTATTACATGGCATAGAATCATGCCTAAGTTTTGTTGGATTTTCAAATTTTACTTCAGATCACATTTTAAAAAGACTGATTTATTTTTATCTAAATAGTAAAATTACAATATTTAATTTTTCACATTAAGCATAATTTTTAAAGGGAAAAATAATGAATGAGCATTATTTTTGCAGAGTTGAAAGATTAGCAGAAATACCATTAAAATTACTACCATGTCCACATATCAGGGTTTTAGAATCTCATTTTCCTCATGCTACTTGGGAATGCCTGTTGTTCCTAAAGATGCTATTGACCATGCTCACTCCATTTGAACAAGAGCACTGGCATTAGTCCAGGAAACCTAACCTAGGCATAATTTTTGGGTTTGCATGAAACTGGTAAATACAATAACAGATCCTCCTTTGTCAGTTTCTGTGATTTAAATAGTTATTCAACATTTTTTATCAGCTTCCGAAATTAGCATCTTCCTCAAGATCCATGACTGCTCTTTACCACTGCTTTTCTTTTCTCACATAAAGAGATGTAAAGTGTATAAAATTAAACTCCTGTCGAGTCAGTTCCCACTTATGGAGACTCTCCACTAGATTGCTGAGGCCGTAAAGACTTAGTGGTAGGAAATGCTCCGCCTTCTCCCTCCAAGCAGTAGGTGGATTTTAACTGTCATCGGCACCCAGCCTGCTGGTTAGCTCTGCAACATGCGGCACAGTCGTTGCCACCAGAGCCCCTTCGTGTATATAGATCTTACTGGGTTTTAGGTAGAAATTTGCACAGCAAATTAAGTTCCTACTTAATTTTTATAAGTTGTGGTCTGTGTCATTGGTTACAATTTTCAATGTATCATTATTCTCATTATCTCCACTCTTTGTTCTGATTCCATTGACATTACTTCCCTTTCCTTCCGTGCCTTCTCACCTTTGCTTTTTTGGTAAATGTTGACCATTTGCCTCATATAATTGATTGTTTAGTAGAGTATATTATTCACAAAGACATTGTTTATTTTATAACATATTATTTTATTAAAAGTTGACCTACATAAATAATGTTCCTTTCTAAGCTCAAAGAGAGTTCTTCTGGTCTCTGTCAGTTAGAAAATTATCACTTATTTTATCAGCTATCTGATTTTATTTTCATTATGTGTGAATTACAAGACCTTTAGAGAATAATTAGGGGAAAAAAAGGAAACTGACAATTGGTAGTAAAGAGATATAAAGCAACCAGTAGAATGGAGATTTTCTGCATTGAATCTTATAATATAAAGATAAGCAGTCTCTTCTTGTAAAGATTTACATTTTAGAAGCCCAAATAAACTCTCTCATCAGTCAAAATAAACCCAGACACTGGATTTTCTTTTTTTTTTTCTCTTTTGTTAAATTAAGCACCTGAATTCTGGAATTGCAGTGGTTATGTCATCAGCTGCTGACTAAAGGTCAGCTGTTTGAACCTTCTACCAGAGAAGGATGTAAGAGTCTACATCATAAAGATTTACAGCCTTCAGAACCCAGTGGGGCAGTGCTACTCTCTCCTGTAGCATCAGAATGAGTCAGAATCAACATGAGGGTGGTGGAGTTGGGCTTTGGAATTCTTGGCTGCTAAGTTGAACCCTTATCACAAAGAACTGTCTTCTAAACTGGTCCAAATTCATGGGGAGACAGCAAGTTAGGTATTTTACTTCAAAGTAGACTTCACTAGAAAACTTAATTCAGCAATAAAATAAAAATGCCATTTTAAATCTTCATTCATTCACCAAATTTTTTTTTAAGTGATTACTTTCAGTTCTGAGGATCCAGAGACAAAAGATAAGCTTTGTGACTTCAGGGAGTTTAAAACTTAGAAACAAATGTTTTTATTTTAATTGAGTAGAAAAGCAATGTGTTATTTCAAAAGGTGTTGTTGTTGTTGTATTCCATCTAGTCAGAACCAACTCATAGCTGGCCCTCCAGTAGAGACTTAATCACATAGGAGGAGATTACTCCTCTTTCTCCCACAGAGCCCCTGGCACATTTGAACCCTGTGCCTTTGCATTGGCAGCGCAATTCCTTATCACTAAGCCACCAGAGATCCAACAAATATATTTTAAAATAACTTTATAAGCTTATTCACATTGTCAGCTAATAACTTATCATTTACTTATAATCATAGTATAAAAGCTTTGTTAAAAATACATAGAAAACAGATTCATTTGGCCTAGTGATAAGGAAGATTTTAACAGAAGAAGTGGCATTTAGACGCTCTGTCCTATTCTTCAAAAGAGTGCATATGTAGGGATAAGAAGGGGAAATAAATAACAGCTGGAGTACATAAAGTTATTACTGATGTAATACTGAGTACATAAAGTTATTACAAGCCATATTTTTTGAATTTTAAAAAAAACATAAAATAGAGGGACAGGGTTTGAAAGAGATAGAAGAGATAATGAGTTATCTTTCGAAATATAGATTCTGAAGGGTCTATGGGACATTGCAACAAATGTGTGCTTCTGTGCTTGGTAAAGAGTGAAATGTTTGACTCTAATATAAAAAATGAACCTGAAGATCCTGCCTTGTTATTCATTTATCTGTTTGATTACGGTTACTCAGATGAAATCCTATGGTGGTTATGAGTTGAGAATTTAGCACTAGGAGCTTTAACAGTTGACAGGTAGATGGAGGAAAGGAGACCCCAAGATAGTTTGTTATTTGTAAGTTCTTCTTTTCCTTAGATTGTAATCTTTTAGAAGCAACTATGTTATTCTATCACTAATACTTACCTTAGTATTGAACAATAAGTATGTGAAGACTAACAAATGAAGTAGTAGTCAGAAGAAACTTACAATCCTTTTCTTGGAAAACCCAGGTATTACTTGGCCTGTTTTGAAGATCACAAGGGGGAAAAAAGAGAATTGAGAATACTACAGGTTTTGTTACCTGAATATGCACTGCTTTCATGTCAGTTCCAACTCAGAGTGACTCAACTGTGTTTTTGAGGCTGTAAATCTTTATAGGAAGAGATTGGCTACTTGGGGCGTAACTCCAAACCACTGACCATGGTCCTTACTTTTCTAGATCAAAATGAATAGAAATTTGCGTAGTAAAAATGAACAACAGGAAAAAAAAACAGTGAAATGTGAATCTGAACGGTAGAAAATAAGAAAAATATCTGAGACTCTTTTTTTTTAAAAAACCAGTAAGGAAATAGTTGATATAGGTATCTGTATAAAAACATCTCTAAATGCTTCTTTCTTGTCTAAAAGATGAGAAGCTGACTGTACTATCCTTACTTAGACTGGCTGCTCTGTCTTTCACTCCCAAGAAGTCTGAAACTTTCTTTCTCATTACTGCACAGCTGCCAGCACACGTGTTTAGTTCTCCCATGACAACCACTGTGACAATATTGTCAAGACAAACATTACAACTTCAGAAACCATTGGTTGTGAGAGCATTTGGCTATTGACGATCTTACTATTTCTAGTTGTTTGGGGGAAACTAACATCTTTTTTTAACCACTGATTGTTGGGTTATGATTTCCCTCTGAAATTGAAAGAGATTGAGGAGAAGTAAAGGCACAGGAATGAGAGAAGATTACACAGAGAAAAAAAATAATTTAGGACAAAGTCCAAGGACTTTCTCATTATGTTCAGAATACACTTATAAGTGAGGGAAGAATAAATACAGATGGGAGACTAAGCAAAAAAAAAGCTTTTATGGGGGAATAATAGAGCTAAGGACTAACATAGAAGTTAAGCTATAGTTTATAGTAATAGCTGGGGTTTGGGTTTTGGGTTTTGTGTGTTTTTTTCCACAGTACCCATTTGTCATTCATGTGATATTTTTATTGTGGGTTGGGTGAAATTATTCAAAGCAAATACAATATTTTACAATATTAATCCCAATATTTCCTGCTTCAAATAATATCAAATCCTACCTATAATGAATTAAAAAGTAATCAGTGGACTAATTTTGGTTTTATTAATTCTTTTTTTGTTTTTGTTTTTGTTTTTTTAATTTATTTTAATGAAAGAAAGACTTTGGATTTCCATTCCGTTGCATTCTTGCACACTTTGCTCCCTGCCCACCTCTCCTCCCAGTTTGTTTTTCTCTTTGAAGGGTTTTTAAAAAAATTCTTTCTTATACAATACCCCCCTGGCCCCAGTCCACTCCACTATGCAGCTTTCATTCTGGACTCTTGTCTTGACAGTAATACCTTATCATATATTCCTCCTATACATTTCTCTCCCTCATCTGTTTCAATGCAGTATACATTATTTATCTCCTCTTAGTTTCCCCCCAACCCTGATGTCAGTCCCACTTTACAGCAGTGGCACTATGCAGTATTTGTCCTTTTGTGACTGAGATATTTCACTCAGGGTCACCCACTTTGTATAATAATTCAAGAGTTCCTTGTTTTTCAATGCAGCATAATATTTCATTGTATGAATATACCACAGCTTCTCTATCCATTCATTTGTTGATGGGCACTTGGGTTGTTTCCAACTCTTTGCTATTGTGAATGAAGCTGCAATAAACATGTATCTGCTTGGGTGGCAATTATGATTTCTTTAGGGTATATTCCTAGTAGTGGAATTACTGAGTCAAATGGTTTTTCTATCCTCTCACCTCAGTAAGAATAGCAAAATTTAACAGAACAGCAAGCAACATAATGCTGGCAAGGTTGCGGAGAAACTGGAACCCTTATTCACTGTTGATAGAAGTGTAAAATGATGCCACCACTGTGGAAGGCAGTAGTATGGCACTTTCTCAACATCGCCAGCATTTGTAGTTTGCTGTTCTGTTAAATTTTGCTATTCTTACTGGGGTGAGATAAATCTTATAGTTGTTTTGCTTTGCATCTCTCTCAGAGCTGGGGATTTTGAACATTTCTTCATGTGTTTGTTCACTATCTGAATATCTTCTTTGGTGAAGTGTCTGTTGATATCCTGTGCCCATTTTTCAGTTGGATTGTTTACCTTTATCTTGTTGTGGTGCTGTTTTATTAATTCTTTTAGAATATTTTCTTATCCAAAAAAAGAAAAACAGAATTAAATTTTTTTTTTTCGGTAATTTAAAATTGTGCTATAATTATTTAAGGAACACTCTGGTAGCCTAGTAGGTAAGGAGGTGCCTTGCCAATCCAAAGGCAGGGAGTTTGAATCTACCAGCAGCTCTAAGGGAGAAGGATACACAGACTCCTCAAATGGAGAGTCAATTATGAATCTTTTCTGACCAGAAAGGAGATAGGTAATTATGTAGAATCTAGTATGGTGCTATAATTTGGTAATTTTATTAAACATACTTTTCTATTTTTGTTATAGATCTAAACTTAGTCTTTTTCAATCAAGAATCAGTTTACAGAAGGCAAGTGTAAAGGTGAGTTTTTGAAAACTGTTTATAACTGAGATTTTCGAGAAAATAAGGAATTGGGTGTTTGCAGATGAAGGGCTATTATTTTTGCTTTAGAGAAAAATTTTAAGGTCATTAACCTGGGAAGAAGCTTTCATTCCAGTTTGTGGGCATTTTTCACCCAGATGACAGCACTCAGATCATTCCTGGCTTCTCAAGACTACACTTTATTTGTTTGGGTCCTTTTAGTCCAAAAGACTTAGTCCATGGGCTTTAGAATGTTATGTAAAGCCCGTTTCATTCAGGTACAGCCTGAGCAGAAATGCTGGGCTCAGTACAAGTGAGTTTCTCTAATAACCTCTTGCTGTGGCTACCAGATGAGGAAATTTAGAGACCCCACTGTGGCTTCCACATTCCCAACTAATATGCAGCTCATCTGGCACATCAGAAGTGTTGATTAAAAAAACAAAAATTTAGCCATAAATAAGATACTTAGTTTGAGAATTTCTATTTTCCCATATGAAGGAAATGAACAAAATATTTTGAAGTTCTCCTGAAAGCTTTAGAAGTGTGTTAAGTGTAAATGTAAGCATTGGAAACACTCTTGATACGTGACAGTTCTGTTCACAGCTTTAATACTGAAATAGTGTTGAATAATTTTTTTAAAGACATGTAAATGTTTTCCCCCACATAGTTATATTTATTCTTGGTGAAGAGCCATTAATTACTGGTTAAGAGTAATATCCTTTTATGTTTTGCAGTGTAGTACCAATTTTTACTGATTTATTTTCTTTTTCTATGTTATAGTTAAAAGCCCGACGCTCTGAGTGTAACTCCAAAGCTACCCACGCGAGGAATGATTATCTTCTCACGCTGGCAGCCGCAAATGCACATCAAGATCGCTACTATCAAACAGATTTAGTTAATATTATGAAGGTAACAACTTTAATGTCTATTCTACTTTTGTTTCCTTTTTCTTTTAAGTTTGAGCTGAATATTGCACATATACAACTGAGATTGTAGAATAGTTGCCAGATCATTGTGCTTTTGTTTAAATATGTATCATGTTGAGTGACCTTCAGCAGATAGTTAATTTTTACTATAAGAAAAGGTTTTAAGCCAAATCACATTAAATTATTTTATTTCTTAGCAGCAGGAGCAGCTGATCCTTACTACATGGTGGTGAGAAATATTGACAGTAACTCTTGACTGAGAAACTGTTTCTGTGCTCTTTCGCCTGAGTTGTTGGTAACAACAAAGTGCTGAAGTTAGGCAGAATTTTCAAGTACCTTCTGAACCAGCAGAGAAAGACTGATATTTTTAGCTTATTTTTACTTTTGTTGGATTGTATCCTCATATCTTACTGCTGCTATAACAGAAATACCCATGGAATGCCAAAAGTACAAACAGATATATATTAGAGAAAATGCAGCCAGAGTGCTTCTTGAAGGCAAAGACGGCGAAGTCTCATTTCACATATTTTAGACATTTTGTTAGAAAGGCTATTCCTTGGCAAGGGACATCATGCTTGGATAGGTGGAGGATAAGTGAAAGAGAGAAAGACCCTCAATGAGATAGATTGACACAGTGACTGTAGTAATGTCAGAGATCATGAGGATGGCACATGATAGTACAACACTCAATCTGTTGTTCGTACAACTGGTGTGAGTCTTACTCTGTGACTGGAATAGTACGTTGACAGAGAACTACCAGAAGTACAAGCTGGCTTTAGAAGACACCATGGCATTAGCACCATCATAGCCAATGTCAGATGGATTTTGACTGGAAGCATAGAGCACCAGAGAAGTGTCTGTGTTTAATTGATTACACAAAGGCATTTGACTGTGTGGATCACAACAAATTGTAACTAACCTTGAGGAGAATGGGAATCCCGGGGCACCTGATTGTGCTCATGCTAAACCAAAAAATATGTGGATCAAGAAGCAGTTGTCAGAACAGAGCAAGGAAATACTTCATGGTTCAAAATCTAGAAAGGATGTGTCAGTGATGTGTCTTTTCTCCGTACCTTTTTAAATCTATATGTAGAACAGATTATTCTGGAGGTTGGACTCTATGAGGAAGAATGTGGCATCAGGATTGGAGGAAGACTCATCAACAACCTGCAATATGAAGATGATACAACCTTGCTTGCTGAAACTGAGGAGGACATGAAGCGTTTGCTACAGAAAGTCAAGAACTGCAGTCTCCAATATGGCTTGAAGCTCAACATCAAAAAGGCAAAGATTCTCACCACTGGGCTAATTGATAGAATCTTGATAGATGGAGAAGATATTGAGCTTGTTAACAATTTCCGTTTACTTGGTTCTACAGTCAACACTCTTAGCACCAGCACTCAGAAAATCAAAAGAAGAATTGAACTGGGAAAATTTGCTTTCAGGTACCTCTCCAGAGTGCAAATGAGCAGTGATGTCAGTCTAGAGATAAGATGTGCCTGACCAGGCCATGGTCTTCACAATTACTTGCTGTGCATCAGAAAGCTATACAATAAGGTGACAGAAAAAGAATTGATGCCTTTGAGTTGTGGTGCTGAAGAAGAGCATTGAACATACCATGAGCTGCCCAAAGAACAAGCAGATCTGTCCTGGAGAAAGTGAATCCCAGTTGCTCCTTGGAGGCAAGGATTTTGAAGGTCCATCTCACATGTTAGGCAAGTTATCAAAAGGGACCAGTCCTTGGAGAAGCGATGGCACATAACAATAACAAGACTGAAACTAGAAATAATCATTTGACCCAGCTATCCCACTACTAGGAAATTACACCAAAAAGAGCAGAGGTAAGACACTGTGCAGCCCATGTTTATTGCAGCATTATTCACAAAAGCAAAGAGATGGAAGCAGCACAAGTGTCCTTCACCAAAAGAATGGGGGGAGAAACTGTAGTCCATCCACACAATGGAGTTTTATGCAGCACTGAAAAACAGTGAAGGTCTCAAGAAACATTATACAACATGGATAAGTCTAAAGAACCTTATGTTGAGTGAATTAACTCAGTAACAAAGGGACAAGTACAATGTAAGATCACTTAAAAAATCAAGAGAACTATGGGGTCAGTGGGGCAGGAGGAGGTGGGAAGAACAGGAAGAAAACAGATAAAGAGCACAGCATTGGAATAAGTAAAGGGAAGATAATTTTGAAGAGGAGCAATACAACGTTATGCATAAAGCAGCTAACAAGTTGATACAGGACATATTAAAAAATGAAGTGGCAGTGAGGGGATGTATGGATAAATGAGTGAATGAAAAGCCAGTTTAAATAAAAGATAATTAAAAAAAATTGGCTGTCATTTTCTTCATTTAATGGACATCTCTTTCAAGACCAAAAGTTGAAATAACATACCTAATGTTATCCAGCAATTAAAACTGAATTCACAAGAGGCTGAGGAATAAGAGAGATCATTGACACTATCAGGTGAATCCTAGTGGAAAGCACAAAATGCCAAAAAGATGTTCGTGTTTTATCGATTTTATGAAGACATTTTACTGTATATCATAATAAATTATGGGTAATATGGGGGGGGGAAGAGCCCATTGAGCAGATTTACCCAATGCATTACATCATTTTGCTTTCTCTACTACAGATTTTATCTTATCCCCTGCTGTATTCTTAAGAAACCAGTTATTTGATGGTTTTGTCTCTCTCGTGTTTTTAACTCACCCCTTTCAAATGTATTCTTTTTCATAACTGTCAGACACAGTGGTGACTTAGTTGAATTGCCTTCTATAGGCATCAGAGGTGTTGGAAGCAGAAATGCTACAGAAGTGAGCACTCAGCTAGAGTGGAAATAAACTCTGGTCAGAAAGCATAATTTGTAATTAATGTCATTGATTTGTACACTCAAAAATAATTCACGTGAGATGAGGTAATCAGTCCTTTGATCTTCAACTCATTTCATTAAGTTAGAACCAATTCATAGCTGACCTTGTGGTGGTCTTTTTGGAGGCTATAAATTACACCAGAGGAGATTACCCATATTTCTCCCACAGAGCAGCTGGAGGATTCGAAATACTTACCTTTGCAAACCAAAGCATAAGTCCTTACCCACTAGGCCACTAGAGAGGAAGACCCTCAGTGAGATGAATTGACACAGTGACTGCCACAACAGGCTTGAGCATGAGAGTGATCATGAGGATGGTGCAGGATCGGGTAAGGTTCAGAGCTGTGTTCATAGGGTTTCTGTGTGTCCTAGTTGACTTTGACAGCATCTGACAACAACAACAACCTTCAATAAATAAGGGAAGATACATTATTAGTAGTATTAGTATTCATATTTGTATTCGTATTAGTATTATTTGGAGGTTATGCCCTCTATAAAAATAAAAAATAAACCTGACCATCTCTCAGATTGTAGATACTTGAATTTAATTTGAAGTCCTTGTGCATTTATTTGGTCAGCATTGGGTAGGTTGGGTTTCAGATTATTCATTTCTTAGAACATTGTTAGGTGCTAAGTTGATCATGAGAAAAACAGAAGTTCCTCTTATCCCACTATAATGATAAAAATGTACTGTAGCTTTCTTGTGTGTGTATTAACTAAATTTTCCTCTTCATGAATAATTCTATGGTCTGTTGAATGGAAGGGCTCCCTCTGAGTATGCTATGACCTGCTTATTAATTGTCTGTCTTAATTTGACAGTTGCCTTTTAGATGCCTTTCTTGGAAATGTCAATGTTTGTTTGTTTGTATATTTGTTTGTTTTTAGGGTAACAATGTCCCATGCAAAATTTTTTTTACAATTACATGGAGGAATTGAAAGCAGGGAATATAATGCACTGATTTAATTATATACACTTAATAGTCACTTAGAACATGCTAGCTAATGGGAGATAGACATTGGGAACAGGTAAAGATGAATAAATATAGAACTCCATCCGGTAGAAGATTTTTAGAAATTATTACAAATTGTGATCATTTACTTACTATGAATGAACAGTGAGGATTAATAATAAGAGCTATCACACTCTTTTTCTCCCTTCCTTTGCCCTCTTTAATGTAATATTACTTTATTTCTCATTTTTTTCATATCTTGGTTAGATTCCAGAGTTCATTACTTAAATAATGTTCTAGTCTGTAATATTTGCCCTCTCGCAAATAAAATGCAATTCTGTCTCTGGATGAGTACAGATAAGTCTTTCTCTCTACCTGCATCTGAGTAGCCAAAACTGCCAAAGAAAATCTTTCAACAGAGCAGATTCTTAGTCATAAATTAATGGTGGAGTCAGTCTCAAATGGGCTTTCAACACTTCTCAGTAATCCTAATATTTTCCCCCCGGTTAATTTACTATTCCTAATCTTTACTTCAACTTTATCCCTTCTCCTCCTCAAACTTACCCCTTCTAATTTGTACTTAGCAAGTATCCTTTCCTCCTAATTTACAGAGAAAATGCAAGATGTCAAAAAAGTACTCTTTCTTATTGTCTCATTATCTGCCTTCATCTGTATGCATGACTCCTCTAAGGCGTCTCAGTAACAGCTGTTCTTTCTATCCAGAGATCTTTTTACTTTTGCTTTGGATCATATCTCATCCTCTCTTGCCTTTTCTGGGACCAAAACAATTAATTATTCTGTCTTCTCCATATATTTCCTGGACATTCTATCCTTAGATTTAAAAAGATGCTTTAACAGTTGTAAGAGCTTTGACATTATGACAGCCTTCGTTGTGTCTGCCTTCTGAGTTACACTCTTACAGCCTGTATTAAATGCTCTTTGTCAGATGTGTTGCTTTGATCCTAAGATTTTCTTTCCCATGATGACAACTGGTTTTTATCATTGTCATGCTCTTTTCTGGGAGACTTTTTCAGAGTTATATTTCATCTCTTCTGGTGGACTTTTAATTTTTTCAGCATAGGGTTTTGTTTTTATTTTGTATTGTTCCATTTTCTTTCATAATTGTAAGCATGGCTTTAATGTCCATGTTCT